GCGGGCCGGGAACGGAAATATTAGGCCGTGCGCCCGGTTACCAAAATACTTCGCGCATACTACGTACTATACTAACCCACCGACCGACCATTGTAAATGTGTGTAAATTGTGTATAGCTCAACTAGAATTGGTTGGGTTCGCCGCGCAAATACTGGTGAGCTATGTAGTGTAGTGGTGTGTAAGTGTGTATATGTATTTGTTTGTATACTTAAATCTAGGGCGAATAGGTAACTCTATAATAAATAATGGTAACTCAAATGTAAATATGGTATACAATATGATATAATAATATAGAAAATAAGATACAGCCCTTTTGGCCCAACAAGTAAAAATGTATATAGTATAATAAAATTCCTAACCAAAATGCCGGTTCGGCACAACCAGATATAATAAAAATCGTTCAAATAAATCACATGAATAGCAAAATATAATAATTAATAAATGCTAAAAACTGCGTAGCCCTAATGGCTAAACAGAATAAAATATAAGTATATAAGTATAAGATATAAGATAAATAATAAAAGGTAGTTAAGAGGACGCCACACCACCCGTAATTTGATTAGAAAAAGTGTTTTGCGTGGGACAACTTTTCTCGCACAATATTGGTTGTAAAACTACCAAATTTTCACAACACGTAAAGAAGAAATTTATCTGTGCAACAGCGTCCCCTTTTTTTTAATAGCACTATCCAATCATTTTTTAGAAGTAAATGAAAAAAACAAAAAACCGAAATGTTTAGAAGGAAATAACTTTTATTATATTTTAGGTATCTAAACTATTGGCACGCTATTGCATAGATAATTTTCTACACTATATGTTCAGAAATTTTGGAGCCACTACTGCAAACACAAGGCGATAAAAGTTATCCTGCGCAAAACGGTTTTACAACAAAAAAATTAATTATTTCGCTTGAAGTGTGCTGCGCTCAATATGCATGCGGCAGAGCTCGGCACCACAACGTTTGTATCCCCACTCCAGTTTTCGTCGGTGGCGTGCGAGTTTTGACGGCCAGCATATTCACGACCGATAGCGGCGATGACGCTGATTATGAGATGACCAAAATAGAACTACTAATGATATCTTCGAAAAACAATATTATTTGTACAAACGCAATCTAATACAATCTAATAATTCTACAAAAACTTAGGCAGGGAGAGGGCTGGCGTCTGGAATATTATAATAATTTATAATAATATACGAGAAATATTTCATGTTATTATTATTTATTATGCTATCGACAACTGAGTAGACAACTAGGTAGGTACAGTACTACAGTCTATTACTGATACATTTTCATTCCCATCACAAAATGTCGCCCAAAAAGTTCCGTACCATCGTAAAAAAGCGTGCCCGAGTAGGTAACACTTGTATTAAAAAAAGAATGAAGAACATTCGTAATAAGCCGTAAGTATTAGTATTTGCCATTTATAATTTTATAAGTACATGGTTTATATTTTATTTGTTCAATCTTGAATAAAAATAATAAAATAAAAAATGTATCTTATTATTTTTATTTATTATTGTTGAATAATCTGTTGTTGATGCTGTACTAAGAAAAACTAAAATAATTATTTATATTTATTTACATTAATGAGTAAATAGTAAAATACTAAGTACAACTATTGATTATAAAATATAAAGGCCATGTAGGCAGCATTTTACAAAATGTGTAATTTATACAATTCAAAAAAAAATAATTCACAGAAAATCGATTTCGACTTGTATAGACTTTCAACAGTCAGAAAATACTGTTGAGTCTCAATATACTAATAATTCAAATGCTAGTACTACTGTGACAGATAATACTACAGAGGATACTTTCTCAAGGTAATTATTAGATTATTAGATTTATACAATTATACGTTGGAATATTATTTAAAGATCATGCAAATGATTCTAAACACAATGGACTATTCGTCTATGTTTTTAAAAACATTTTATAATTCAGTCGCCAGACCTACAAAAAAATACAAAATAATTTAATTGATTATGATGTGAGTACTGAATACCTATATTTAAATATTATTTAGGAAATCAATATCTACATCAACACCTGTAAATGAAATGTCATACGCCGATATTATAGACCATAGATTAGAAACAACTGAATCTTCTAATGACACCGTTGATTATGAGTAAATTATTTTTAAAATAAATTTAAAAAAAATATGTTGTGTTAATGTTAAATTTATACAATATATAGATCTCTAGAAGGTCGTAGGATTGTCGACGTACGACATTTATTTGAACAAATTCAGAATAGCAGACACGAAAAATTTGACTGCTCCTTTTTAGAAATGCAATTTTTAAAAGAATACCGCAGAGGTTACAGTTTAACATTTAAATTTGAGTGTAAAATGTATTGTACAACTTCATTTATCACATTTGAACATGAAAATATGATAAATGCAACTAACTATTTGCCAATAAACACAGCATTGGTAAATGGCAGTTTAGCTGTTGGTAAGTGTTTATTTTTTTCATGTGACTGATGATAAGTGCTAAGTGGTATTTATTACAATATAGTTAAATTAAAATATTCCATTTACATTGATAAATATTACGTCGCCGTATAAACCCGTATACCTTCCAATACACCATGAATACTGATGGTACAATGGTACATGTATTGTACATAATATAACAGAGATAGTTTAATATGTAAACGAGCGATATTTTTAATAATACTCGTAATTTTAGGAATTGGTCATACTCAATTGAGTGAACTATGCTCATCTATCGAACTTCCGACCTTGTTATCTACTACTTATTTGAAATCTTTGTCTAACATCGGTAGTACTGTCCAAGATACTGCTATGGACGAAATGATTAAAGCAGGAAACGAAGAGCGTAGATTGGCTATAGAAAGTGGTAATATTGATGAACATGGTGTACCACTCTGTACTGTAATTGCCGACAGCCAATGGTCCAAACGCAGTTATAGGACAAAGTTTAACGTATTTTCTGGAGCCGTGAGAAACATATTAAAATATTGAATAAATAAATACATTATTTTTATTTACAAATAATTTTAAAATTATACTATACAGGCCACCCTTATTGGATACAAGACAAAAAAAATTCTATTCGTAATAGGTATTGCTCAGTGTGTCAAAGAGCTATTACTAAGAAGGAAGATCCACCAGTCCACAAATGCTTTCTAAATTGGAAAAAGGCATCTACAGCAATGGAAGCAGACGCAATAGTAGAAGGGTTTTGTAACAGCATAAATATACATGGGTTGAAGTACAATAAATTGATCGGTAAATACTTGTTGTAATTTATTTACATATAATGCAGTATTACAGTATATAGTATAGGTATTTCAAGTAGATCTCTTCATTGAGTAGTTGAGTATAGGTATAAGTAATTTTATTACATTTATATTGATATTTATAAATATTTTATTATTATTACGATATTTCGACGAGTTTTACAATAATTAAAATTTTAAACGGTAATTTAAAAATATTATTGTGAAATTACAACTTGTGCAATTTTTTCACTCCGTTCAGAATTTAAAATAGTTTTTGATAATATTTCAGGTGACGGCGACAGTAGTGTTACCAAAAAACTTAATGAAGTATTACCATATGGGAGTGATTTTAAAATACAAAAGATTAAGTGTAAAAATCATCTTATGCGAAATTACTGTACAAAATTAACCGCGCTCACTACAAGGACTGAATATTCAATTGTAATACGAAAGTTTATAACTCAAAACATTATGCGTTTTCGTTCTGATATAACCAAGACTATTGAACATCATAAAAACACTAATGTACCACTTCGCGTAAAAATTGATGGTGAGTATATTTTTTCATAATATAAATTGAATATTGGTTGTGAATTGTTTATTATTATAAAAATAGCATTGTTTTTAATGTATATTATTTTATTTTTAGAACTTAGGAATGATATTTCTAATAGTGTTTATCATAGACTAGGATATCACAAATCACAATAAGTGTGATGACTAACCTATGCATATTTTTGTTCTGGCCCAAAAGTTGGTGAAATTAATTTAGTGCCAGAAGCAGAAAAAACAGGAATCATGGCTGATATTAAGAATATAGTGTATAGATTGATTATTAATGCGGACAGTTTAATTGAAAGTGTAGATACTAATCCATGTGAGCAGTTTAATGCTATAATAAATAAACATATAGGAGCAAAACGCATTAATTTTACACAAAGATCTAACTATAAAACTAGAGTAGAAGCAGCTGTTATAGCATTTAATTCAAAAAGTTATATACGAACAATACATAAGAAAATTGTTGCAACTAGTCCAGGTAAGAACTATATTATTTGATAATAACTATACATAAATGAAATTAATATTAATTTTGATACTATAATATCATATCATTATAGGAACATTTTCTAAGCTGCACATTAACAACATCGAACGAATTAGAAAAAATACAATAATGAGAAGAAGAAAACTATTTGCAGAAGGAATTAAACGATCAAAATCCAAATTAATGTCTAACGGACCCGATGTGGATTATGGGTTGGCCTTACCATTAGACGATATTATGAGTTCTGAAGAATTGCAAAAGAAAAAAATGTTGTTTTTAGAAAAATTAGAAACAATTGATAAAGTGCAATTAGAATATATTACCAGAGAACAAAATTGTAGTCAAGACTGGTTCCTAGAGCGTAAAAAAATACTGCATCAAACTTCGGAGATATTTGTAAGATGAAAGTCACAACAAGCTGCAAAAAAAAAGTACACAGTATGCTATACAAGCTGAATACGATGTGCAAAGAGATAAGCTATGGAATTCAAATGAAACCCATAGCAAGAATTGAATTTCAAAAACTATCCAACATGTCAGTTAAGTCCTGTGGGCTATTTACAGATGATACATTTCCATATTTAGCTGCAAGTCCTGGTATGTAATTTATTTATATTTATTATTTTTGATAATAATACTAACTAAAATATTTAGATGGTCTCATTAACGAAGACGCTTTAATTGAATTTAAATGTCCGTATGCGGCGAAAGACTATAAGTGCCATTCAAGCAGTAAAAAATAATCAAGTATGTATTATATTTATTTAAATTTCTATTGATATCAGCAGTAGCGGCTCGTGAGTTAATATTCTGGGGAGACTTAAAATTATTTAACATAAACTACATACAACAACGAACAAGAAAATCCCTTTTATTGAAAATCTAATAATATTATAGCATTACATATTTAGTTAATATTTTAAACTTAATTTAATATTAAATTTTTTTATAAACTAATTCAATTCTGCGATCTTTTTTATTTGCAAACTCGTTAATAATACTGTCTATAAAAATTGGATCCTTTGCCATGTCACCCAGTAAATTTTTTTCAATCGCCATAGATAATAAACTTGAAAGCCGCTCATTGGTCATTGTGTTTCTAAGAAAAGTCTTAATACGTTTTAATGTACTCATAGATCGTTCACTCGAAGCTGTCGTAGACGGAATAGTTAATACTAATTGACAAAGTTTAGTAACTTGAGGATAAATATCTTTATGTAAATCACCTGCGAATTTCAAAGAAAAAGTAAAAAATAATAATATTTAGTTTGGGTGAATTATTATTACGTATACTTACTTTTTATTATAAAATCTAAGAGTTCATAAGGAGGCAAATGTTTTTTTTCATCGGCATAAATAACAGCTAATTCATTACGTAAACGATCTGCATCAAAAGTATTAGGGTACTGTTGTAATAACTTGATAAACTTTGACTCAGGAAATTCGAAGTAATAGCTTTTAAACATTTTTTCATTTATAATCTCTACAAACTCTAGTTTTGGAAAATCTTCAAATCGTATGTTAATTTGAATGATTAATGAATCTAGTATTTCATATGTAATTTTACGCAATTCGTTTCGTTTTTTGTCTTCATACTCCAAAGTATTGTTTAATATTATTGCTTCGTTGCAACAGTTATTCACATTAGAATCATTTCTTAAATCGGTCAAATTTTTTTTTAAATTTTGAATTTCGGAAATGCCAGATTTTATATTCGAAAGGGATTTTGATTGAAGAAAATTAAATACATGATCTGTGTATTAAAACACCTTACTAAACAAAACCAAGAAATATACGAAGTTCGCATCATTAAGTTTGTCATAAAGACCAGATGCAGTACAAACGGATATAGGATCTCAACTTGGTTCTTCGGTTACGTGTAAAACGGCATTTTTGAGATTTAAAAAATGTTTTTTTATTGTAGAAGCAGCTCTCGAATGATAATTCCACCTAGTGTCAGATTGATTTGGAAGTTTAAAACCTTGTTCCCTTAACAATTCACTTCTTTTAGTAGACCGGCTAAAAAACGTATGAAACATAGTTAGATTGCAAATAAAGAGTTTTACCGATTTTATTGTTTTAACTCCGTGTAACAATACTAAGTTCAACTAATGTGCGTAACAATGAATAAATAATGTATTTGGATAAAATTGCCTTATACGAAATTGTACACCATTTTTTTCTCCCGACATAACCGAAGCACCATCATAGGTTTGACATATAATTTTATTTCCAATTTCCCACTTATTAATTTCAGATAAAATTATATCTGCTAATCCAGAGGCTGTTTTATTCTTTGAAACGTCAAAAAAGCCTATAAATCGTTCTACAATATTTTGGTCGACAACATAACGAAAAATTATGCTCATTTGGAATCGGCACGATACATCAGTCGTTTCATCTGCTTGAATAGATACGTAATTAACGCTTTGTATTTCATTAAAATTCTGAAATTTAAAACAGAAGTTACGCACTCAATCAAATCGTTCTGTATCAACTGAGATGTACCTTTAAATATTGTCGATGACAGTAAGTGCTCTTTAAGCAACTGCTCTTCTTGAGCCAGTAGATCGAGTAATTCTAGATAATTCACCTTATTTAACGATTCATTATTTTCCCGATGGCCGCGAAAAGCAAGTTCTTGTTTGCCCAAAAAACAAACAACATGTATCATACGTGCAATTAAACGTCTATTTATACCGACCTGTTCGTTATGTTTTACAGCCGCAAGACGTCGACCTTCTGAAATCGCGTGTTCAATTCGGACTTTACCCAAAAGATGAAATTTTTCTTGGTTAGTTAAATGTTTTTGGGAAATAGCATGATTTTCTGATTTCCTTAAAAAATTTTTTATAGCCGACAATCCATTAACACTCCATTCCTTTTCTCCCCCGAATATTACGCAAGTAAAACAAAACATTTTATTTCTTTTATCACAACCAGTAAGCCATGGAAATTTATTGTACCAACTGTACTGAAATTGTCTAATATACTTACCGTCCTGACATGTTAATAATAAATGAGGAGTCGGACGATTAAGTTTAATTTGATTTTTTTGTTCGTAAGTTAAAGTATTAAAACCACTAGTTAATAATATGTCTATTATATTGTCTTTTTGCATTTTTAAAATAATTAAAAATATAACAAATATCAAATAGAAGATAGTATAAAACCCTATAGTAAACGTGTTATAGTTATTAAATCATAAAAATACATTAAATTATGACGGCGACTAAGAATGGCGCGCGGTACGGCAATTATTGTCGTGAACCCAGTCTCAATAGAGTCTATAATACGCAGCTTATTCTCCCTGCCCCCTCCATCGAACCGGCCATACCATTTTACATGTTATGATTGAAACTGTCGGGCGGCAGTTTCACTGTAACGGCGACCGTCACCGTCGTCGATAAAACTAAAATAGCATTTCTATTAAAATAACTATTTATAGGTTTTAGACTTGGTGGCTTTCAATTCATAATAATAAACAAAGAAAACGATATAAATTGTATAATATTATATTTTCAATTCAAATAAAAATATTTTTATGCATTTTATTAACTGGGTTTTTTTAAGGGGGAGACTCAGTCTCAAAGTCTCCCCTGACGAGCCGCCCCTGGATATCAGTTACCGTAAAATATGTAATTAATTGCAGTATTGTACCATCAATGATGACGGTAAGCTCTTTCTTAAAAAGGATCACAAATATTTTTATCAAGTAATGGGTCAATTGCGGATAACTGGTAAAAAATGTTGTTATTTTGTGATATATACAATGCAATGGACCAATATTCTAAACATTTATTATGATAGTGAATTTTGGAACACTAAAATGGTTGAAAAATTAAAAATGTATGATAAATTCATAAATTTTACAATAGTTATTTATACTATTTAATATTTGTATGTGTTACATTTTTTTACAGGTTTTCCTTAGAATGTTTGCTTGCGGAAATAGCTGATCCGCTTTACGGAAAGAGAATGCAAATTGAAGACATCAGAGAACCAGCTCATATAACAAAAGCAAAAAATTTGCAAAAGCAAAAAATTGCAGCAAAACGACAAGCGGTTTAATGATGTTTTAATGTTTATGATATTTATTTTTACATTCAAAGTATAATAAAATATAGATTTACTAGTCTTATTATTAATGCATACAATAAATGTATATTTCTTATAAAATTATAAAATTAATATTATTTATATACGTAGTAAAAAAAAGAAAAAGATGATTTTTTTATTATTTAAGGTAATAATGATTTTTTTTGAAATTTTAGGGTCATATCTCCTTCCCATTTTGGTCTTAACTAGGTTCGCATTACTTTATTTAGTTTGTGCACGGCATGTGAAATAGCTCTAAACACGCCTATGGTCGTATAGTTAGTAATTAATTTGTGCGAACGTATGGATAATTATTGTAATTATTACAGTTGCAAATTATTTACCTATAGGCTGGGCTGACGAGAGGGTGGGGCAGGGGGCCGGAGGCCAAAGCCCCTGGGCCCAGACTTCCTGAGGGCCCATAGTACCGGCCTTTCATACAACATTTTTTTTATATTCATTCAACATAAGTCAATCAGCCCCAAGGCCTGCAAAATTTCTCGCCGGCTCTGTTTAAAGGTACCTATTATATTTTAATGAGTAATAATTCAATAAATACGAATCAAGCTATGTTAAAATGCAGTTCCTACGATCTCTATATTGGTACATATATTTAGGTGAGCAATGGCTTATAATGAATAGTTCATAGGTAACGCAGGTGTTAAAATATTACGGCCGCATTTACGTGTATGAATTTTATTATGACCCGAAACGTCTTTAACTAGCGATCATACAATAATAATGCACCGCTCTCGTAACTACGCCCAGTGGCGCAACAACCGGAGCTGGTGGCGATGCCTAGCATCGGGGCCCTAAGACTCAAAGGGGCCCCATCATACTCGTAACCTGGGAGCAGGGAGGGTGTTTTTAATGCTAAAGAATTAAATCAAATCTGTGATCATTTAAAATTTTTACCATAGTTAATTTTGATACCGATGAAATTATAATAATCAATAATTAATACGCAAGGGCAAAGTGTGGTACGTGCAGACCGTGCAGTCCGCAAGTTAAACACTATACTTAATATGTATTATTTTATATTATTATATTATTTATATTGTATTATGTTTTATAGACTATAGTTCTACAGCCATTGCCCATTACTTAATATTCTGTATTATGTATATTATTATGTATAAATACTCAATACGACAATACTGTTAGCATTCTCAGAATAACAGCCCAATAGACGCTGGTATCATACAGATTTGTGGCGAGCGGGGATCAATATTTATTTGCGACTCCGATGCTCACCGTAAATATTATTAATAGATATCAAGATACACTAGCTATTTAAAATATAAATAATAACTTTTATACAATATACATAGTAATATGACAATTTAAAAATGAAACGTCTATCGGTCTATCGTTTATGGTCTATGATACTGTTGACAATATATAAATATACCGGTTTTCTTAGGGGCTACGGTCCTATGAAGTTATTTTTAAATTCCATGTAAAATGAATTAGTATAATATTATGATATACATTGATTACGACTGTTATAAACGTGAACTGTGAAGCACCGATTTTAGTCATTGTGCAATATCTGCCTTACGTCGTAAACCGTCGACACACAGACACAGTATCTCGTATGTTATAATTTAAAATTGTTTAATTAATTAAATTAAATATTTATATTATGCCACCAAAAAGTGGTTCTCAAAAAAGAAAAGAACGAGCTCAAAAAGATGCTGAGTTGAAAAAATTACGAGGTTCTTTTGACAGATTTCTACCCAACAAAAATGGTACATACCTATATAGTAATTTATTAGTATGCGTAAAATAAACTATAAAGTCAAATAAATAATATTGATATTCTTATTGATCTTAATAATTTATATCTGTCAGGGTTATTATTGAATAAAAAAAAAATGAATTACTTATTTACTTGATAAAAAAATCTAATAATTAATAGTATACCTACCTACAGTGGAAATTTAATAAACTATATCTAGTTATGGAAAAATAATATTAAACAAAAAACAAATCACATATTTGCATTACCTAATATATTATTATTTTAACAATAAATTAGAGCAGAATTAAAAAAAAAAAATGTTTAGGTTTTCCTTCATGATATTATTTTGGTATTCAGTCAACTTTCAAACAAAATGAATTACTTAAATAACAACAAAATAATATGATACAAATCAAATACATCTAAATAAACAAAATGTTCATGTAATATATTTTTTTTTGATAATATTAACTGATTAGGTAACAATTGATATTTTTGTTTTTGATCATATAATATTATGCATTATGCAAGTATAAAATATTTAAATATAGGTAACTTCAATTTTTAATATGTTTTTATGTTAAAAAAATGTTCTATTTACCTACTTATAAAATCACAATTAATTGGAAATTTTTAAACCTAAAGTAACTTCTTCAAGTGTGTTGATTGCATTGGAAAATGGTGGCCAAGAAAATATTGGTGAAATTTTACAAACTGAAAATAGTGAAAATACTATTGGTCATTTGTGTAATTCAGATGATTCAGCTTGTCCAAGTATTATTTTATCAAAAATAAATCTAGTATTTCTTATTATTTTAAACATTTTTTATAAGCAAATATAATTCTGCTCTAGCTGAAAAAGTAATTGACAACAGCTCTATGCTTGTTAAATCTACTGCAACTTCTGCGAGTGAGATAACCGCGTTGGAAAGTAGTGTTCAAGAAAATATAAATGAAATTTTACAAACTGAAAATACTATTGGTCATTTGTGTAATTCAAATGATTCAGCTTGTCCAGGTATTATTTATTAAAAAGCAATCTGGTTTTTTGAATTAAAATTTGTATACGAGAAATATTGAAATACCTCATATTCCCTATATTCAATATAAATTATAATACAATTTTGAATGATTACTATTAAGATATCATTATTCAGATTTATCAAATTAAATATGGTTTAATAACCAGTTATCAATAATAAAAATTAAAAAAACCTATTATTATAAACAATTAATAACTTTATTAGTATTTAGTTTATACAATCATTCCCTATTAATTATTAGTTTAATACATTTGCTCATTTTGTCAGCTGGCATATTTGAGAAGTCATTATTTTAATTCCATAGCAGTTTTAATTATAGTCGGTATAGCGTGTTATTGCATATTACATGTAAATATTTACATGAAAAATCAATACAACATATTGATGCTATTAAAGTACGTTGTATTTGGGAAAAAAATGAGACTATTGATAAATTAACTGAGCAACAATACTCAAATGAAGCAGCTTATTGGAGAAATGTTCTTAAAAGAATCATAAAAATTATTCTCTTTTTAACATCTGGCAATACAGCATTAAGAGGACATGAACATAAAGGCAAATTTAATGAACATGAATATATAAATTAAGGTATATAATCATTAAATCTACTAATATTTCATATAAATAAATAATTGTATTTTATAATTGTATGTGTTCTAGGTAACTTTATGCGTTCAGTGAAACTTTTAGCTGAATTTGATCCTGTTATGAATGAGTTATTGAATGATGAAAAAAAAAAATCAAATATCTAAGCTGGAAAGTACAGAATGAATTAATTAGTATACTTGCTACTAATGTAAGAAATTTAATTTGTCAAAAAGTTCAAAATTCGCAATGCTTTTCTATTATTGTCGCTCCACACAAGACATAACAAAAATTGATCAAGTCAGTATATAGTAGTAATGTAGAGGTCAAGGGTATGATGGTGCATCAGTAATGAGCGGGCTTTATTCAGGTGTTCAAAAACGAATCAAAGATCAAGTTCCCTTAGCACAATACGTACATTGTTGTGCACACAATTTAAACCTGGTTATTTCAGATGCTGCTAAAAGTTCAAAACAAGTTGCAATCTTTTTTGAAACTGTGCAAAGCATATTAAATTTTTTTAGTTTAAGTGCTCCACGATGGTCAATTTTAACTTTTGGCGAAGCTGATATCAAAAAAATAAAAGCTAAAGTTCTGATAAAGTTATGTGTGACAAGATGGGAAGCACGACATGAATCGATTTATTCATTAAAAGTCAGATTTATTGATGTACTGAAAGCCTTAACAAATATATCCTTAACAAGTTCTAAAACCGACGAAAAAAGTATGAGTTTATCTTTGAAAAAAAAATTAGAATTTTTTTCTATTATTTTCCTTCTTTGTTTATGGGAAGAAATTTTAAAACCCTTACATGGAGTATCTAAGTCTCTTCAAAAAAAAGATACAAATTTACATAATGCATGTGAAAATTTGAAACAAGCTACATCTATAATTAAAGAATTGAGAAATAACTATCATACTTTAATGGAAACAGCCAAATCTATGTGTACAAAATGGGGGATTCCTCAGGAATTTCATGTACATAGATTAAAGTTTGGAAGAAGATATTTTGATGAAGTAGATGGCGACCGTTGATTAGATATTTCAGAAGATAATTTAAGAATCAAGGTTTTTCTTCCAGTCATTGATACAGTAATTTTTCAATTAGATAATCGATTCCAGGGTTTAAAAAAGGTAATTGAATATTTTGATTTCTTAAATCCTTTTTCATTGGTTAATAGCACGGAAGATGATATCATTAAAGCTTCGTATGATTTCGTCAATTTTTATAACGTCGATATTATCTCAGATTTCACCAGACAACTTTTATGCATAAAAAAATTAATAAATTTGAAAATAACTAAAAATATTAAACAACTAGCCATGTTTATTATTGAAAATGATTTTTGTACCATTTATAGTGAAGTATTAATTGCTTGTATTATATATATCACATTACCAGTAACGGTTGCATCAGCGGAACGTACGTTTTCGAAGCTTAAATTAATTAAGAATTATTTAAGAAATTCAATGGGTCAAAATCGTTTGTCAAATATTGCTCTATTAAACATTGAAAAAGAACAAGCTAATATCCTAGATATGGACAAAATAATCATTCAATTAGCTGAAACCAAAGCAAGAAAAGTTAATATGCTTAGTTAAATAATTATATTTTAAATTTAAAATGTTTTTTTTTAAATTCTTTTTCAATAAATTTTGTAATTTTGTTATTATTAAAATATAACCAGAAATAATTTACACAGTATTATTTCGCTTGTGTCAGCATTAAAAAAAAAAAATTGACTACAAATACTTAAGTAATTATAGGGCCCCAGATTTACTTTGTCTTCAGGGCCCAAAGATCCTAGTTGCGCCACTGACTACGCCGCGCGGATCCAGTCACGAATATAATGGGCATGGTTATGGCCTGCCGAGACGGCGGCATATGGTGAACAACGCCATCTCTGGAGCGTTGTATACGTTTCACTTTGAGTGTGGCGTCCTCCTAAGGCCCTTCTGGCTCAATAACACGAATATAATATATAAAAACAGCTATTAGAGCTGAAAGCTCGGATAATTGATATAAAAAAATATATAGCCCTTTTGGCTCAACAAAATAAATGTTAACAATACTTAATAATATAATAATAATAAATAAATAAATAAATAGTAATAATTAAAACTCATAAATTGTGGAGCACAGATTGGCCAGCTGCTTCCTTTGCTATAATAATATCACACACACACACAAATACGAATAAAAATATATAAAAATAATTATTTTAATTATTATAAGTGACGATTCACGCACACGAAACAATAATAAATGTAATATATAAAGAGGCGATTAGCGCCCACACAATATGATATAGTGTGTAATATACTTAGGCAAAATATTATTATAATAACACAGCGACTAGCGCAGAAAAAAATATCTCAAACTTTTTGGACTTCACACGACGGCAGACGGCAGAAGACAAAAATTTACGGCGGCCGTGCAAATTAATATCGCGCAGCCGACGCGGCGGCTACAGATAACGTGCTGATAAATTTGCATAGTGATTACCGATATAATTCAATAACACAAAATATAATTAAAACAATAATAGCTATAAAAATAACGGCTGGTGGTCGCGAGTGTTTGTGTGTGTGTGTGTGTGTGTGTGTCGATCGGCTGTTCTTCCATAAGCGATAGTATTTAGTATTTACATTATGGTACTGCAACAAATAATGTGAAAGCCCTAATTTTAATATTTTTATGTGAATAGAGAATTGCCATTATTACTAATTCTTATAACAATTTCGAACAGCACAATACTATTAAATTACTGTTGGTAGTTAAAATTGTGTAATTTTTTCAATGTGTATTTATTTAACGTTTTTTATTCTGAAAAAAATTGTCATTTTGGACAAACCTCTACAATTTGGGATAACAATTGTATTTTTATTATTACTTAAATTTAAAAAAATACATTTTAATTTACATATAATTTAAAAATAATATAAAAACATAATTTATGTTTTAGTCAAAACATGCTTCTAAATTAAAAGAGCTTGAAGCAGATTTAAAAATTGAAAAATCTTCTAATAAATGTAAAAATAATGACTTTAATTGTGGCCATAGTGCGAAAGTGTAACAAACAATATCGGATGCATTTTCAAGACCTCAGCCAGTTAGTCAAGGTTTGAAGAAACTTAATATTTATAAATTATTTCTTTAAAATTAATCGTTTTTTCATTTTATTAAAAAATTTAAATTCTATGATAACTGAATTTGTTATTATGAGTAGTCATGCGTTTAATATTGTTGAGGAGGAAAAATCCAAAATTATCATTCAAAAAGGTTTTCCAAATGGGCAATATTTATCTAAAAAAACTTTAATGAGTAAAATTTCAACTACAGCAACCAATTTGAAAGCTAAACTTAAAGCACAATTGTCATCTACTGAAACTAAATATGTCTGTGCTACAGCAAATTGCTGGTCAGTTTTTAAGAGGTTTGTAAATAATAACTGTAAAAAATGGATATTATTTATAAAACAATGATTTAATTGTTTAAATTCAAAATGTAATGTAAGTATAACCGGAAAATTATAATATATGTTTCAAAAATTATATTGGTATAACAGTACATTGGTATGACCCGAAAAGTCTTCAGAGATTATCTGCTGCGCTTGCTTGTCGTCGCATAAAAGGTAGACATTAATTTGATGTCTTGGCTAAAATATTGCATGATGTAATTTATGAATATGGCATTTTTAACAAAATAACAAAAATAGTTACTGATAATAATTGTTCAAACTTCATCAAAGCTTTTCGGTAAGAAATAATAACTTATTATTACTAAACTGATGATATATTTTACAAATACAATAACAGCTTGTAATTTCTAAAAAAGTATTATTACCCAATAATTAATAATACATTTTTTTAGTGTTTATTCAGAATCTGAAATTGTAATTGAAAATATGGAAGAGGAGCAAGAAGTAGAGTTAATTGAAATAAGTCATTTTAAATGAATAAACTACATTTGAGGCAGAATCTTCATATTCTCTTTATCCACATCATCGCTGTGCCAGCTAGCTACACATTCAATTTAGTAGCCACTAAAGATTCAGAAAAATAATTATCTGATCTATTGAACAAAAAACAACTTAGATCAACATTTGCGAAAATGCATGCACTTTGGAATAAGCAAGAAAGGACAAGTTTAATTGCCGATACGATACTCTTTTTCTTCTTTCTGGACTTTTACAGGCCTTTAAGGCCCATCGCTGCAACAACATATTGTTTCCATTCTTCTCTATTATTTGCACATTTTTCAGCGTTTCTTACGTTCAGGAGTTTCAAGTCTTCCTTTACTCTATCCACTCATCTTTATCTGGGGCGTCCTCGAGGCCTCTTAGTGTCGGGTTTCCATTTAGTTATTGATCCAATTGTTACGTACCGTGTTATTTCAACACATATATTATATGGAGAGGTGATGTGTATACCGATGGAATAACATATTCAAACAGTGTAGTATCGAACGGCTAGGGCGAACACCTGCACATCGTGATATTTAATATAATAATTAAGACTTGATCACACGTCCTGGACTTCTCAGAATAGATGAGTAAACGATAGTGTTAACATTGTACTATTTAATATAACAATTAAGACTTGATCACACGTCTTGGATTTCTTATAACCGATGAAATCGCAGGAAAGGCACCCAACTGAATAATACATTTCATTTAGAGAGCTCCTTTAGGTCATCGGAAGTCGCCACCTCCCCAGTGACCACTCTTGACAGTTAACCATATAAAAGGGAGACCGGGGCAAGAGCTCAGCAGACGGTTAGGGATATTCGAGACGCTCAGAGGCAGGTCGTAACACCACTCACGGTCTCGTCTATCAGTATTTCAGAGGCAGGTCGTAACACCACTCACTCCATCTTGTGCTTATAAAATTGTATTCTTGTATGAGTTAATGGTATTAAATAAAGACTTAATCTTTTAACTTTCAAACATTAGTATTTCTATTTCTACGTTGACATAAGGAACGCAACACAATCATTCCCTCTGACCTCCATACATGTCCTGCCCAACTTATCCTCACCCAACAATTGTAGGTTCCTTGTATAGATCATCCAATTCCCTGTTGCTTCTCACCTCATAGTCTCCATCGTTATTTCTCTTTGGACCGAAGATTTTCCTTAATATCTTTCTTTCGAAAACTCCTAACTTTCCTTCGTCCGATTTTGTCGTGGCCCATGTACTACATGCATACAGGGCAACCGGTTTGACTATGACTTTGTATAACGTTATTTTAGACTTTATTGATAGTAATCTTGATTTGAAGAATGACATTAGACTATAGTAGCATCTATTTGCTGCTGTAATTCGTTTAACTTCTTCGTGGCAATATTGTCTTTAATTATAAACCCTACACCTCGTTCGTGTTTATCTTCACCGTTGTAAAACAGAGTCATTCCTTGAGACTTCAAGCTCCCTGAACTTGTCCATCTTACTTCTTGAATAGCAGTTATATCCATCTCGTATCGCTCAAGACACGATTGAGATGTCGTCAAAGCTCCAGTCCTAAACAAAGATCGCACATTCCAGGTTCCAATTCGGAAGTCCGTTATCTCTTTCATCCGAGGCTTAGAATAATGTTGTTGTTTCTTAATATTTTATTTTTTTTAAGTGGTAGGGTTGGCGGCCCTACGCACAACCCCCAACCTGGAGGACCAGTCCACACCAACTAATTAAAGTCAGTGTGGGGCTCGGGGCCCCGGGTCGCCAAACCCGTAGTACTTGTTGCTTAGTACCTCCTGAGGGGATACCATACATGATGAATTAAGTATATATATTATTGTACCTAACGCCACTAGATTGAATTCTACATTTCAAGCTGTAAACTTTTTAAAAGATCAACTTATAAAAATTAGAAAGTGAAGTCCAACGTATTTGTGACAACGCAGGTTTACCAAGATTTGATAAAAAAGATCAAGCTTTTATGATTGTCTATTGCAAGGTAATTTTTTAAGTTATAATTAATTGATGTATAAACATTTTTTTTACTATCACCTATGCACCATGACAACAGGATCGATACAGATACAGGTAATAAAAAAAAACCGGAAATAATAACGTATTATAATAAGACAAAAGGTGGAGTCGATACAGTTGATGAATTATCGGCAAACTTTGATGTTTCTAGAAATAGTAATCGTTGACCTTTGACAGCTTTTTTTGCACTGATGAATGTGGCAGGAATAAATGCAACAATTATATATAATTATAATAACGAAATAAAGATTTAACGCAAAGAATTTCTAAAAAAACTAGCTCTAAGTTTAATAAAAGATAATCTACAAACGAGACAAGAAAATCCAAAACTTCCAAGAAGTATACGTTCAAGTCTAATACAACACTGTTAAGTCAAAGAAACACCATCCACTAGTACAGGAATAAAACGAAAATCTCAACAAATTCAAAAACGATGTGAAATATGTCCAAGAAGTAAAGATCGAAAAACAAAATACACATGTTACGAATGTGATAGATTTATTTGTATGGAACATATAATTCCAGCATGTGAAAAATGTGTTACCAAAGACTCAAATAATGAAACTGATGACTGACGAATTAGCTTTTTCAAGTTAGTAATAATAGAACAGAATAATATTCTAGTTACGAGTAAAATGTATGTTTCTTGTAAAATGTTATAATATTATAAAAATTAAGTTTCTTTAGTTTATTTTATATTGTTTTATTTCTAAGTTTAAAACTAAAAAGTTATTTTTATTTCATTTTATTTTTAAATAATGAGTGATAAAAGATTTTTTTTTTTTGTTTCTTATAAAAAGTCATAAGTGTAAGAAAAACAAATTTTATTTACTTATAAGTTCTAAAAAGTATACTAAAAATTGTTATTTTTTTATATAATATTATTATTATATTAACAAGTTGTTATAAAATTAAGTTTTAATAAAAGTTGAACTATAATTTTGATTTTTTGTTATTTTAAATTATGGGGTGTAATAAACCCCAACACATTAAAGATGCAAAAAATCGTTAACACACTAACGAAGGGTTAAAGAACTTCTTATAACAGCAACTATTTGTAAAAGTCTTACAAAAGCATGGTTTGGATGGAGTCTGTTTTCGGTTTGACCTAATGTTGCTTGACAAATTTATTAATATTTTAGCTACTGTTTCTCATCCAAAATTTAAGTTCAAAGGTATGTCAATAATGGAAAAAGAAGAAGCCACTGACATCCTTCAAAGTGAAATAGAATATTTCAGACCAGTTAATGCTAATAATTTGGAGCAAAATCAACTCGAGGAAGTCAATGATGCTATTATTTTGGATGAAGATATAGAACAAGAGTATTTTAATACTGAACTTGAACGGTTTTTATTTACTCCCTTTAATGGTGATTTGACTATTTTAAAAAATATGCCAATGAAATTAATTTTTTTAAAGTATAATACTGCTCTACCTTCAAGTGTTTCTGTTGAACGATTGTTTAGCATAGCAGAAGATATATGTACAAAAAAGCGATCTAAAATTAGTGATTGTAATTTTGAAAACGCCTTATTGTTTAAAATAAATTTGAAAAATAAAAATTATTATTAAATGTGTAGCAAAATCAGTACCTATCTGTTAATAATTTCATATTGTTGATTGTCATTATTTAGTTTATGTATTGTCATATTGACAACATGGTTATTAAGCTTCAGTGATATGTTTGAAAAAAAGAAAAGTAACTTAATTTGTAATTGAGTTACATTTTAAATTCAAAAGTAATGTAACTTACCAAATAAAAAAAAAGTAACTTAAAATTAATTTAGTTACAATTTTGATAAGGAATTAGTAATGTAATTTAATTACCCGAAATAAGTAACTTCCCCAACACTGGTAAAATCATATATTGTACTTATAATTATAATCAATGCTATTATTAGAACGGTATTTACCTTTTCAATATTTGTACATAACATTTATTATTTATAATATAAAATTTTAAACAAATAATAAATAATTGCACCAAATTGTTGTATAAATTATTTTATACAGCATACAATTATTTAAAATTTATAAAAATAGGTTACCTAGCCGTATTTTTTGACTAATGAAGGTACTTAAATATATTTTTTAATTTAAATAATAAGTAATAATACATCTATTTTCATATATTCTTTGAATCAACTTAATGTTAGATAACTTGACGTTCAACATGAATATTACTAAATGATGCATATAAAATTAAACAAATTTTGAAAAAAACATTACATAAAGATATAGTCAATCCAATATTAAATTATAACTATTAGGACTTAGATGTTGTTACATTAATTAAAAGTTATCGAATACTAAAGGTTATAGTTGGGTTTAGAAATTTTAAATCTTTAAACACAGATAAATACAAATAAAAATATGAGCATATTCATATGTACATACATTTCATACACTAGAATAGGGTGACCATACGTCCTGTTTTAAACAGGATTGTTGTTTTTCACCTCGATGTCCTGTTTGTTCAATTGGAATTAAACAAGACGCGTTTAGTCCTGTTTTCGGTGGCTGACCTGTTTTAATCCTGTTTTTTTACTATTTTTTTCATCAAAAAGTGATTTTAGCGACTAATTGATAAAAATTTTGTTAATAATAAACTACTTTGAATATTTTCATTTATGAAATCATATTGAGACTTTTATTTTTAGTGTAGGTATTTGTTTTCCCCAAAATTACGACGATGACAAATAATATATATATATAAATAATAATAATAATATATCTTTATTGTAACTAATGTAACTTGATATAATAAATATTAAAAGCATTCATAATATTAGAACGTTAATTAATTTTAGTTTTGAATATTTCTCCTCTATCTAAATATAGGCTAAAGAGCCTATTTCAACTTCTATTCTGTAAATATTATTTGTTATACGAGTACATGTATTTTCAACGTATAAATATAATATGTTGGTATAAAACACATACGAATATCTCAATTAGCGATTAGTATACGTCTTGGTCTTGTCTGGTGCGTGTAGTGTTTTTTACAATGCCTAAAAGAAAATGCGTTTTTACGCAGTTTAAAAATGAATTTTATTTTTTGAGAGATGCCGAAGAAATTGGAAAAGTGTTTTGTTCAGTTTGTAAATCTGTATTTTCAATTGAAAATGGTGGCCGAGCAGACATAAAACAACATATCACTAAAGCGAAAAAACTTTTACGTGCAGTATCTTCTACGTCAAGTATTGATAAAGTTACATCATTTTTTTTTTTAAAACAAAGCCCAGTTGAATTATCTGATGAAAGTAAGCATCTCGCAGCAGAGGAAGGGTTATTTTCATTTCATACAGTCGTCCATAATCATTCGTTTAGATCAATGGACTGCACATCAACCCTTTTGAAAAATATTTATAACAAAAAATTCGCTTGTGCTCGTACTAAAACCGAATCAATTATTTTAAACGTTTTTGCTCCTTTTGCAATACAGCAAATTTGTAATGAATTAAAATCTGCAAAGTTCGCAACAATTATGATAGATACCTCAAATCATAAAAACTTAAAAATTGTACCTATTCTAATTCGTTATTTCAACCCGACAACGGGCGTTCAAATAAAAGTATTGGAAATAACAAATTTAAAAGGTGAAACTGCTGATATTTTAACAAATTATATTATTGAGATTTTGAATAAATATAAATTATCAGATAAAATAATTGCATTATCGGGAGATAATTGCAACACAATCTTTGGAGGGTCCAATAGGAAAGGAACAAAAAATGTTTTTTCATTTCTAAATAAAGGTTTAACAAATAATATTTGTGGTATTGGCTGCGCAGCTCATGTTTTGCATAACGCAATGCAATTAAGTGCTGATATTTTGCCGATTGATGTAGAATCTATAGTAAACAAGATTTTCCAGTACTTTCAAATATATACTGTACGCGTTGAACATTTGAAAGAATTTTGTGATTTTGCAAATATTAAATTCAAAAATATTCTTGGTAATGTTAAAACTTGTTGGCTATCTTTATTACCAGCAATTACAAGAATAATTTAACTTTTTTCAGCTTTAAAATCATTTTTCTTGACAAGATAAATGCCCCACGATTATAAAGCTTTTTTTTAATGATCCTTTTTCCTTAATATGGCTTAATTATTTGTAAAGTCAATTGAAAGTTGTATGTGATACTGTTAAAAAAATTGAAGGAGATAAAATATCAGCGTGTGAAGTAGCAGAAGAATTGGAGGTTTTGTGTGGAAAAATTAGAAATAGGAAAAATCAGAATTGTTTGACTTCTAAAATTGTATCACTGTTACATGATTTGAAAAAAACAAAACATGTATGATGAAAATTCATTTAAACAAAATACTGATATGTTTTACGATACTTTTTTATCATACCTTGAAAAATGGGGTTATCATTTTGATGATTTGAAAATATTACGGTAGATCCAATTAATAAATTGTCCTACTTGGGACGATGTTCAACAAAGTATACAGTTATTGAAAGGAAAAACCAAAAATAATATCGGTTGGAAATTAGATGAAGATGATTTATTCGATGAATTTAATCATGTAGTGAACATTTTCAAAATACGAGTTCATGAATGGCAAAAAAATTGTACAAAAGTAGAAGAAAAATGGTGTGAAATTTTTGAGTATAATATGGTAAATCAAAATATTGGTTTACAAAACATATCAGGAATTATTGAATATGCTTTGGCGATACCCGGAATAAATGCAGTAGTTGAAAAAACATTTTCTAATATAAGTTTATTGTGGAGTATTGAAAAAAATCGTTTTCTTATAGATACTATAAAAG